ATAATGACCATTTGATAGCCAATCCCCCCCTCAATTTTGAGGCCAGAAGGAGACTTTCCCAGAGGGTGGACTGCTGGGCAGATGGTCCTATTCGGACCTCAATGGGGGAGGATGGGGTTGTCAGTTCATGGCCATTTTTTAGGATTCAGTATCTCCCTAAAGTCTGGATGCATGAGGTGTTCCTTTGCAGCTTGCACATCAAATAATGTGTCCCACGTGTCTTCACGTCTCACCATTGGGACCTCCCTATTCTCCTCTATGGTGAGACCCCAGACTTCCCTGTATCCTGACATTCCAGCATTTCTGCTCTGAAAATTGTTTTAGTCCTAGTGATGGCTACTGCTGCCAATGGTCCTTCTGGGGCTACTGGCCACTCAGATTGACTGGCAGCTTTTTGTGGAATGAGGGCTGGATGTTTAGTTCCTAACCAACCAATGATTCTAGGGGAAAACAAATCAGCAGGGATGTGAAATTTTGCAGCAAAATGAGGTTAAAAGAGAAAGACAGAATAATAAATGTGGACACCCAGACACAACACACTTAACAATTTGCATTTTATTATAGAAAAGTTGCTCTGTTTTTCAATTTTTAAAAATTCATTTGTGGGATGTGGGCGTCGCTGGCTGGCCAGCATTTCTTGACCATCCCTAGTTGTCCTTGAGAAGGTGGTGGTGAGCTGCCTTCTTGAAACATGGTCAAAAATCACACAACACCAGGTTATAGGCTGAGCTCCGAAAGTTTACGTTTTCACATAAACCCGTTGGACTATAGCCTGGTGCTGTGTGATTTTTGAACTTGTCCACCTCAGTCCGACACTGGCATTCCACTTCTTGAAACACTGCAGTCCACCTGCAATGTGTTGACCCATAATGCCGTTAGGGAGGGAATTCCAGGATTTTGACCCAGCGACAGTGAAGGAATGGCGATATGTTTCCAAGTCAGGATGGTGAGTGGCTGGGAGGGGAACTTGAAGGTGGAGGTGTTCCCATATATCTGCTGTCCTTTTCCTCCTAGATGGACATGGTCGTGGGTTTGGAAGGTGCTGCCTGAGGATCTTTGGTGAATTTCTGCAGTGCATCTTGTAGGTGGTACACACTGCTGCTACTGAGCATCGGTTTCTCCTTTGAGGTGCAGAATTTTTGTTGGGAGACTGGATCAGTATATCACATTTTAGCTGTGTAATCCATGTGGCTCAGTACTATTATGCAATTTGAGGATCGATTTGTCTATGTCCTCATGCATAGCAGGGTATCTGGTTTGCCAGAAGCATGGATTGGAGTATTATGGGCACTATGCTCATGAATTTTCTAATCTGCACTCTCAATAGACTTCATCAGTGGATAAAACCTAGCAAGAAGATCTGTGATTGTCAGCAACTTGCAATATATGCCAATCATTTGAAGCATAGAGCTATATTTTAGTTGTACCAATGAGTCTTTATACTATGCACCTTTATGGCTAGGAAGACAAAAGTTCAGATTATCCCGATATAGACAGTGTGACCTCGTAGGTCATTTAACATCACAATGTATTTGAATAATCTTTTCCTGTTTTCACCCACTGGATACACATGGCCTCCTCCAGCAGAGGTCGCTGGATAGCTATCAGGAATTCTGACATTTTATTTGTTCATTACGGAGCACAGGGCTATTGAGGTCAATTATAATACCCTTTACTGTTACAAGACATGAGATCTGCTGACTCTGTGCAGACTGGGAATTGAACTAGGATCTTTCTGCCCTGAAATAGTTTGGCTAATCACTGCCTTCACCAGCTGGATAGAATGTGAAATTTATTTTAAGTGCTTTATCTCCGTATCATTAAGTTTGCATTTTAATAATAATATTATCACTAATCTCAGCAATTTTTTGCAATACTAGGAATTAAACGTCAAAATGCCCATGCTAAAAATGTAAGTTATAATAAAAATGCTCAGCCAAGACAATTAAGAATTTTTGAAGTCAAAGTTATTTTCTACGCACGATGGACACAGTTGCCCAAATGCAGGATGTAAGTTAACTAACCAGAACTATTTGTTTTGAACACAATGGTAACTTCTTGTTGACTGACTAATCATCACTCTCAATAGTATATTCTTGACTTGGTGACCTTTCTCTTCCTTTGTCCTTGAAGATCAAAGTTGATTCAAAGATTATAGCAACTTAGCTAAGAATTTACTAGTCATTTCTTAGATACTATCTGAAGTATTTCTGGACTGCTTACATGTTTTTTGTTTTAGCCAAAATTGGATTCTAACCAGTACATTCACTTGTTTAGACATTGCATTAAATACTTGCAATAATTTATAAGCAATGCTTTGATAATTTATGTTCATTTATTTTTGAGCACAATCTTGAAATATGCCTGAAAACCTTCCAGTACATTTCAAATGTACCCAAAGCTAACAATTCCAGTAAATCCAAAATTATTTGATGACTTTCTATACAGTCCATATCAAATCACATTTCAAAGCAGCGTTAAGTAAAAGCATTTAAAGCTTTTACATTGTTTTAGATCATTTTCAGAAGAAATGCACATATTCAAATAAAAAAAATTCAATTGTGCCTATCCAAGAGTCGCTTAAAAGTCTCTAAAGTATCTGACTCCACTACCACTGCTGACAGCGCATTCCACACGCCCACCACTCTCTGTGTAAAGAACCTACCTCTGATATCTCCCCTATACCTTCCTCCAATCACCTTAAAATTATGCCCCCTCGAAATAGTCATTTCTGCCCTGGGAACAAGTCTCTGGCTATCCACTCTATCTATGCCTCTCATCATCTTGTACACCTCTATCAAGTCACCACTTAACCTTTTTCGCTCCAATGAAAAAAGCCCTAGCTCCGTCTACCTTTCCTCATAAGACCTGCCCTCCAGTCCAGGCAGCATCCTGGTAAATCTTCTCTGCACCCTCTCTAAGGCTTCCACATCCTTCCTACAATGAGGCGACCAGAACTGAACACAATATTCCAAGCGTGGTCTAACCAGGGTTTTATAGACCTGCAGTATAACCTCGCGGCTCTTAAACTCAATTCCCCTGCCAATGAAAGCCAACACACTGTACGTCTTCTTTACAACCCTATCAACTTGGGTAGCCACTTTGAGGGATCTATGGACGTGGACCTCAAGATCCCTCTGTTCCTCCACACTGCCAAGGATCTGCTATTAATCCTGCATTCTGCATTCAAATTCAACCTTCCAAAATGAATCACTTCACACTTTTCTGGATTGAATTCCATCTGCCACTTCTTTGCCCAGCTCTGCAACCTGTCAATGTCCCATTGCAACCCACAACAGCCCTCCACGCTATCCACAACTCCACCAACCTTTGTGTCATCGGCAAACTTACTAGCCCACCCTTCCACTTCCTCATCCAAGTCATTTATAAAGATCACAAAAAGCAGAGGTCCCAGAACAGATCCCTGTGGAACACCACTGGTCACCGAGCTCCAGGCTAAATACTTGCCATCTACTACCACCCTCTGTCTTCTATTGGACAGCCAGTTTTGCATCCAGACAGCCAAATTTCCCTGAATCCCATGCCTCCTTACTTTCTGAATGAAAATCTTGCAAAAGAGATAATCACAACTTGATAGAAACTGGATTCTATGAAATTCTAAGAATATGTGAAATACACCTAACTGGGAAAGACCACTGAACTGGCAAATCAAGAATTACTTTAAAAAGGAATTCTATTCAGACGTGGCCTTCCATAAATCCTAGGTGATGACGCTCAGGTCATTTATGGATCTTGGATTTGTCATACCTTTCTGCGTTTTTAATTGATTGGTTAAGCCCTAAAGGCTTCAAGTTGCTAAGCAGTTTGTTTACTTCCTCAGAAGCTTGTCTGGCAATATGTATTTGGTGCAAAAATTAAATATCAACACTGAAATTTAAAACAGAAATAACATGCTCACAGCAAATGCATTGAAATTTGTCAGTCGTGAATTTTATGCCTTAACATTTATTAGAAAGCAAACCTTTCAGAAAATTTAAAAGCAATTATAAATTATTAGTTGCTGGTGAGATCATGCAACAACAGAACATGCAATAGTAAATAGTATTCAATTAAACAACATTCAGGTTGGAGCAAATAATAGCTTTCTGTGCTATCTTGTCTATAATAAACATTAGCACCTAATTTATTCAGGCCTTTGTTTAACAACAATCATGTTTATTTTGCATTACATATTAAGCCTGCAAATATAATAGCATTAATGGAGTTCAAAACAAGGTACAGGGAAATTAAAGTGGCAGTGATGGATTTGATAGAACTGCAGAAATTTACAGCACAAAGAAAGGCCGTTGGGCCTCTTGATTTTGTATTTAACAATGTCATAGTGCACTCTATCCTTCAAATTTGATATTGTTGTTTGGTGGTGGAAAAACCAATTGAGTTTATAAACACACAAATTGTTTGGAACACTGACAACATTGGGTGGGACAGAAATTAGCCAGACAATCACAGTGTTACCCATATCAAACAAAAATCTTGGCATGTACAGCCAATGTTTAACCCTTTGAACAGTTATAAAATTACTTTTACAGTGTAGGCATTTTTCATCGGACTATCATAAAGCATCATGAACCAGAAGGCTTCTCCTTATATTTAAAATTCTATGATCGCAATTGGCTTGTTGATAGTTAAATACGTATATGCTATTTTCTTCCTATTTGGTCCAAAGTCAATTATTTAATAATATAGAATCATGTTCAGTACTTAGGTGTTTTCACACTTCCAGTAAAAAATATCATTAAACCAACAACGTGAAGCAAAGGATATTTTGACATCACACATTGCACTTATTTTATTTTTAAGTTCACATTAATATACTTTTAATGAACAACAGAGTAAATACAGCCCACAATAATGTCCGTAATTGTCACTGCTATAAAAGGAGAAACTGGTATGCTTAATGTATATCATATGAAAGGTTTAATGTTGAAGACAGCATAGGAGCAAATGTGTGTAAAACCTCTCTTTGTTTGACATTGCAGAATTCTGGTCAGTATTTCATGGAAGGCGATGGGAGTGTTGCAGTGTTGGCTGAAGAATAGGCATAAGCTTCGGTAACCTCCTTTCACCTAGGCCAGCTGAAGCAATTTTTCATCAAGGTCCTGAGGGCAGGAATCAACCCCCACCCAGGAGAACTCCCTCACCCATCCCCCTCCCCAAACCCCCAGAGAAATGCTGGATAATCAGCGGCTTAAAGCTGTACATTGATTGACAGAGTCACTGGGGGAGGAGCAAAGACAGCTGCCAGCAATGCATCCATTCAGGGCCCATTACCACCGAGCCTCAGGTGAGTGATGGAAGGACAGGGACTGTGGAGTGCGGGCTTGCTGGAGTGAGGGAGCTTAGCAGCATGGACAGGCATATGGCTGTTAGTGGGCTCTCTCCTTCTGATGCGAGTTCTGTTGTTCTGTGTCAGAAGTGCTGTGTATCTTTAAACGAGTACCCCAATTCACAGCCTTGCTTTTCAATCTGCTGCTTGATGAGCCCTCCATCCAGCATGAGCTGAAAACCAATGGTAATGTGAACAGAGCCTTAAATGGATATGAATTACCTATTTATGCATCAATTATACAGTACTAATTAATAAAGTTCAGATTTGTATTCTGAATTAAGAAGATCAATAAAAAGTGATGAACAGCTCTGAATATTAGCTAAGACAGAAGAATTATTTTCACCCATGGCAAATTTGACCAAACCTGACAAAGCCCATTACTTCAACATTCCATCTTAAAACGATCAAACAAGCAAAGGCCTGAAAATCCCCTTCTGTGTTGCAGAGGTAAACCATGTCTGTGTAGGGATCTTCCTCAACTGCACCCTATTGAATAAACAGCATCTTTGAAGTAGGTCAGTTCTGAAGAAGACTTACATTGAGCTGAAAAAGTTAACCCTGTTTCTCTCTCCACAGATGCTGCCAGACCTGCTGAGTTTCTTGAGCATTCTCTGTTTTAATTTTAGGTTTCACCATCTGCTTTTGCTTTTATTTTGCTTTTATTCTCTTATTAGGTCAACCTGATCCAGTGCCCTGCCAATCCTAATGAAGAGAAGACACCCAAACTCCTCATACAGCAGCACTCACCCTGATGCAGTGTGCAGGGCAGTTACCCTGTTATACTCCACAGAGCAATACTGTTTCCCGTGGATATGCAACTGAATTCAACTGTAAGAATTATCAATGTTGTCTGTTTATTGACGCCACCATTTTGGCTGCCTGTGCTGATAAACATCATATCTCCACTTCTGCCTTAGATGTACAGTTTCCAGAGGATACAGCATTACCCACAATAACTGAGATTAGCTTGATCAATGTGTCTCAAATCCAGAAGCCACTTTGGGCATTTGCTTAAGCCCTTCAGCGACCTCCCTCAACCTTGCCAAATGATATAGTAATGCTCTAAAGCACTTGGAATTCTCTTCCTCAAAAGGCAGCGGAAATAGAGAATTTGCTATTTTAAAGCTAGAGGTGGATTGACTCTTGTTAAGCAGAGGGGAGCGAAAGTTACCAGGAGTAGTTGAGATTGGGAAGTTGAGGTCACAGTGAGATCAGTTTTATCGAATGGTGGAGTAGATTTGAGGGGCTGAGCGGCCTACTCCTATTTTGCAAGTTTGTATGAGATGTACCAAATGAATACCATAAAGAGGACCTCACAGCACAACCTGAATGATCCAACCCTCCTCACAAACAAAAATAACCACCAGCAGTTCCCCCACGTTCATGGGAATGGGCGGGTAAACCCTGGATTCAGTTACACGTTGACTATGCGGGTCATTTCATGGGCTCAATGTTCTTAGTCACTGTGGACACATACTCAAAGTGGCTGGATGTGCATAAAGTTAATCATCAAATATGGGGATGATGAAAGAAAAACTGCATGCATCTTTTGCAACGTATAGACTCCTGGAAATGTTGGTAACAGATAATAGGCTATCATTTACCAGAAAGGAATTTGAGTATTTCCTCAAGTCAAATGGTGTTTCTCATATAAGGACAGCTTCATACCATCCATTATCCAATGGCCTGGCAGAAAGAGTCATCTAATCTTTGAAGGCAGGCTTGAAGATACAGCCTACGGCTTCACCAGATACCAAACAGTCCCAGTTCCTATTTGATTATAGGACCATGCCGCATGGTCCCTCAGAAAGGGTCCAGGCCCGAAACGTCAGCCTTCCTGCTCCTCTGATGCTGCTTGGCTTACTGTGTTCATCCAGCTCTACACCTTGTTATCTCCGCGTGTTACATGGTGCCCATATCAGAGGCAGAGTTGGAGGAAGCTGACGCGCTGCTAAAATGCCCCCGGAGGAGCTACAAAAAACAACAGCCTGTGGGCTCAGAGAGAAGGGATATAGTGATTGCAACAAGGTCGGTCAGGTGGACCTCATAGAATAGCTCCAGCAGAGTTGCTAATGGAGAGAAGACTCTGCACCAGGTTAAATCTGACCTTTCTAAACCTGGGGTTAAGGGTGAAACAGCATCAGGAATGCCAATGCTGGACACAAGACTCCGCTAAGCAAGTGAGAGACAGTTTACTTTGGGGGACGAAGTTTGATGTAGGAACCACGGGAATGGCCCTGCATGTGTAACAGGTATGGTTGACCCAAGGTCAGATCTAGTGACGTACATAGTTCAGGTAGATGTGACGATCCTGAATAAGTACATGGACCACATGAAAGCTCACAAACAGTGTGGGAGCAAAATGTGCCTGGCTCCTCGACTGCCTTTCTTACTGTTTCAGAAGCCGTGGGTTCTCCCTCTCTGTCAAGCATTGAAGATACCCTGGAATCTGAGATAGATATGGTGGATGTTGCTGTCTTGATGCTTTTGCCACCTGAACAGGAGAATGAATTTCTTTTGGCATGTTCTGGGTGCAAGAGGCAAGCTGCTGCGTGTTACATGGTTTCAGAGATAGTAGGAACTGCAGATGCTGGAGAATCTGAGATAACAAGGTGTAGAGCTGGATGAACACAGCAGGCCAAGCAGCATCAGAGGAACAGGAAGGCTGACGTTTCGGGTCTAGACCATTCTTCAGAAATGGGGGAGGGGAAGGGGGTTCTGAAATAAATAGGGA